TGTTCTTTTTAGATATGACTAGATGTATTGTTTACTATAGTGATCCTTTTTTTTTATTATATTACTGTTCCATGACGTATGAGAACAAATGTATCTTTTAGGTGAATTGATCAATCATGTTGAAACACTCCTCTCTGTTCAGTGGTTGTAGATTGAACAAGGGATAAACAGTGTATATGTTGTATTATATATGTACAGTGAGAGTTGTACAGCGATGAAATAGTGGTGGGTCCTGTGATGGGAACTGCACTAGAGTATGAGGGATACAAGGCTAGCCACAGTGATTCACAAGAAGGCTAAGCAAATGCTGAATGGTCTTCCAGCTAAACACTGAAGGTTATACATGCACATAGTGTGAAATGCCTACAGCGTGCTTATGCCAAGTGACCAGTGACTGTGGTCAGGAAGACCTTCAAATAACTCCACCCAGACTTTCCTCAGAAGGTGGTATCAATGGTTCATTTTAAAGCAGGAGGCTTCCCTTTAGTTAGCCTGCATGTGCATAGCAATGTAAAGGACTGAAGCAAAGACCAAGATTATTATTGTGATGGAATTTGGTGCTACTGCACGTCTCATGTGCAGTATGTAAGTTTCTAGAGATTTATTCACATGTAGAGAAAGTGTGAGGGATTACTGCAGAAGTTCTGTTTTATTTTTAACCAACATAATGTTGATCCAGACTATTGAAGGAAGGGATATTTTTTCTCTCTTTTTTTTTAGTGTTATTTTTTTATTATTAAAAGGAATAAGATGAATATATAAAGTGAACAAAAACCATGTATTTTGAGAAGTAAATTCATCTGCTTTATCTTCAAGAATGGAATGCAAATATCTGGCAGTTAGGTGCCATCTAATCTGAGAGAGTTCAAGAAAGATGAGTGTTAAAGGAGGATAAATTCTTTGTTTTTCCTTCTTGATAGATATGAGAAGCAAGATTGTAGTAGAGGGAGGACAGAATGTTATCAGATCTTCACAATTGGTTGCTGAGTAATATTATAGGTAAGAAGTTTTTAAGAAGTTTCTTTATATCAGAACTTAAGGCATGAAAGGGAATTTTCATACATCAAAAATTCTCATATGACACTAAAACTGGTGAATAAGAATGATGTACATCAGATGAAGAGACATTTACCAGTAAAATGTGTATGGCCTTGTTGATTGTAGTGATAAACGTAATATTATCATGTAGCATCATCTCTGTCAACTGACATTTATAGGTGAATTACCTTTATCCTGCTTCAATCTTTACCAGCAATCCTTGTATCTGTCCCCCACTGGTTTGTTGAATACTCCATTGCTTATGCTAACTACCAGTTAGGTAACAGCCATCATTATCATGCCAGGAGCGCCTCACTTGCATTTCATGTTTCCATTCTTACTAAGATAATTACTATGCTTTTTAAGCTTTGAAAAGCAGGAGATAGGTAGCTAACACTTCCATGTGACTACCTGTTTTGAACCTTCCTTCCATCTGTATGAGCTGATTATTATTGTTTTTTTTTTATTTTTATTTTTTCCCCCTTTTTTTTCTTTTTTTTTTTTCTTTTTTTCTTTTTCCTTTTCTTTTTTTTCTATTTCTTGCTCTGCAACCATGATGTTGAGCCAAGGTGGTGCTGAGCTTGTCCAGGTTTTAGGCACTTCTATAACCTATGTAGGATTTGCTTTTCTAGATTGCCTGTACGTAATATTTATATGTTACTCTAGAATATTGTATTATATTTTATATTCAATTTTTTTAATGCTTGAAATGTAAGCTACTAAAATTCCTTCCAATAATATTTGTAAGTTTGCATTGGTTATTGGCTATTTTGTTTGCACTTGAGTTGCATAGGGGACATGGGACTCAGCACTCCCCTGCCTCGACGTATGGTTCACCTGCAGTCTGCCATGCAGTTGTATGCCAATTGAAGAGATCTTACAAGTTTCATGGAAGTCCACTCATTAATGTGCTGTATAAATATATTGTATGATATTTAGAAATGATCAAATAAAGTGGTGCAAAATTTTACTGAGAGTGGTCTTTTATTTTTTACCCTGCAGAGTACTGAAACTGCTTTATATATAATGTTCCATTTAATGGTTTTGTCTTCCTGATATTTGTAAAGCATTCATTTGCACATTAGCATCATTGTAAAGTTCCACTAAACCAGGACCAATGTATATCCCTTCCATAACATTAAAGTTTTATCAGTGTTAATGTATTATATACATTCCAGAAAATTAGGTGTATTTTTGATTGCTTCTAACAGTTCACCTGCTCTTATGATTTTCAAGAGTTCTTACCTTGTAGGTGATATGTTGTACGTTTCAGTATCAGTTATATTCTTAGTGTTTGTGAAAAGTTATTCCATTTGTTATGAAAAAAATGTTGTATTCCTAATTATTTTCGAAGGAATCAGTTGGTGTTTTTCCTGTTCTTTGATTTTACTTGTGCTGTAATGACTTTTATTACATAATTTTATTGTTCTCTTGAAAAAACAAAAACATGTGAAACCACATGATTCACCAACTTTTAAAACTTCATTAAAAACATTATTAAAGAGGATTTTCCTAATTAATTTCCCATCATGTGAGAGGGTCATAAAGTGAACACAATGAAATTTGCATGAACATGTAAAATAAGAGTACGACATTAAAATTGCGTATTTAATTTTCTGGTAATATCTGCAAACACTAGAGGCAGTGATGACCTTGAAAAAATATCACAAAGTAGAATGCCAGATGTTCAAACTCTTGTTGCAAAATATATTGTTCTCTAAAACAAAATCATATTTTCGTAATACATGACTGCTTAGTTTATACTTTAATTAGTAGTGATGTACTAATATGATAAATTATAAAACGTTTTGTAAGAACATTCATTTTTGGATTTGATGAAATTTTAGAATTTGCCATCACAATGATCATTATTGTATCCGAGTCTGGATGGTAAAAAAAAATGAGAAAATAAAATATCAGTTTGAGATGATAACATGTCTAGATATTTAAGTATAGCACTGCAATAATTTTATTTTTCATGAGCAAGGAAAGAGACATTGTGTGAATTTCAATATGATACAAAAACTGTATTGATATCCCATTACAACACAACAGTAAAGCTTAACAAAAAATATTTGTCACAAAAATAATTTCTTGTTAGATCTACATAGACTGGAATGTGAGGATGACGGTCAGTTGCATAGCAAGTAGTTGTACAGAATGAGTTATTTCCTTTCAAGGAGTGGAATGATATTTTCTGGGAAGACATTAATAAACAGGTGTTTACTGGAATCAGTTAGGGCAGCCAGTAGATGAGATATGCACGTCATGCGCAATTTCATATTATCCAATTGAATGACTTAATAAAGTAACTAAATAGTTTGTGGAAATGTCAAATGTTAGAAATCATTTGTAGAAGATTGTTATAAAGTAGTAAGCTGAATCATAAAGAGAATAACAGTGACTGAGAGACATAATCAGAACAACCGAATTAACTGCTGACGGATTAACACACCAGCTGAATTACATAACAAAATTCAACCATGTCTTGTGTACCAAAAATCAACGCATTATATCATATCTGCATCCCTCTGCTCTGAGCGAAAGAGAACGACGCCGCATTGCGTCATCCCTCCCGCGGCTGACACTCACCCAGGTGCGTGACGAGCTCCTCAAGGTCCTCGGGTCCGTTGCCCCGAAGACACTCCAGCGACTCTCGCACCTCGAGGGCGTTGCCGATGGCCCTGCCGAGCGGGACGTCCATCGTGGTAAGGAGGGCCGTCGTGGCCATGCCCACGCCGTTGGCCACATCCACCATCTTCTTGGCTAGCGCCCCTGCCTCCTCCTGGGTCTTCATGAAGGCTCCTCCGCCGAACTTGACGTCGAGCACCAGCCCGCTTACCGTCTCCGCAGCCTTCTTGCTGATGATGGACGCTGCGGCGGCGGCGGGGAAGGCAGGTTAGCTTAACAGCGTAAAAGCCGACCGAACAATACGATCTATGGTACACGTCACGGGCAGTTACACTTGAAAAGGTAGACGAAAAAAAAACAAAAAACATGTGAAACCACATGATTCACCAACTTTTAAAACTTCATTAAAAACATTATTAAAGAGGATTTTCCTAATTAATTTCCCATCATGTGAGAGGGTCATAAAGTGAACACAAGTGAAATTTGCATGAACATGTAAAATAAGAGTACGACATTAAAATTGCGTATTTAATTTTCTGGTAATATCTGCAAAACACTAGAGGCAGTGATGACCTTGAAAAAATATCACAAAGTAGAATGCCAGATGTTCAAACTCTTGTTGCAAAATATATTGTTCTCTAAAACAAAATCATATTTTCGTAATACATGACTGCTTAGTTTATACTCTAATTAGTAGCGATGTACTAATATGATAAATTATAAAACGTTTTGTAAGAACATTCATTTTTGGATTTGATGAAATTTTAGAATTTGCCATCACAATGATGATCATTATTGTATCCGAGTCTGGATGGTCAAAAAAAATGAGAAAATAAAATATCAGTTTGAGATGATAACATGTCTAGATATTTAAGTATAGCACTGCAATAATTTTATTTTTCATGAGCAAGGAAAGAGACATTGTGTGAATTTCAATATGATACAAAAACTGTATTGATATCCCATTACAACACAACAGTAAAGCTTAACAAAAAATATTTGTCACAAAAATAATTTCTTGTTAGATCTACATAGACTGGAATGTGAGGATGACGGTCAGTTGCATAGCAAGTAGTTGTACAGAATGAGTTATTTCCTTTCAAGGAGTGGAATGATATTTTCTGGGAAGACATTAATAACAGGTGTTTACTGGAATCAGTTAGGGCAGCCAGTAGATGAGATATGCACGTCATGCGCAATTTCATATTATCCAATTGAATGACTTAATAAAGTAACTAAATAGTTTGTGGAAATGTCAAATGTTAGAAATCATTTTGTAGAAGATTGTTATAAAGTAGTAAGCTGAATCATAAAGAGAATAACAGTGACTGAGAGCCATAATCAGAACAACCGAATTAACTGCTGACGGATTAACACACCAGCTGAATTACATAACAAAATTAAACCATTCTTGTGTACCAAAAAATCAACGCATTATATCATTCTCGTGATGGATCAAAAAACAACGCAATTAATGTTAGTTTCATAAAGAAAAAATCCAGATGAGCGCCAGTAGGTACCCGATGGTTACATTTATACGGTGGGAAGAGCAACTAGCATGTATGCACCGAATATAAGTATCTATAGGTATACTTTCTATCTATTGATAAATATGGTTTTGGCAGAAGGAATTGGCGGTGTGAAGATTGTGCCAAGTGAAAACAGCAGTCGCATTCCCCATGTGTATGTTTGGGGTCTGACTAGTACGACGATCAACCCGGAAGAGAGCCAAGTCTCCAGTTTCCCAGATATGTATGAAATAATAAAAAAAAAAGTAGAAAGTTTTGACGGCTAAAGACCTGTCCACAACGTCAGGCACCTGTGAAGATGACGTCACAAAGTGGAACTACTTGTTTGCCGAGCACTTTGCCCACCTGTGACGTCATCTCTGCGTGCGCGCGCCCGCCGATCATGTTCGCTCATGCGAATTTATGCAACATAAAGTATCTCAAGTAGCGGTTAGGAGACTGACACTGCGAGCTGGATCTTGGCCTCTGCAACTGAGGGTTTCGAGCACCGCGGCCTAGACCACGCGAGCGGCAACGCGCGAGGGCTTGCGCGCCTCCGCCGACGCCTTGATGGTGACGGCTCCCTGCATCCTCTGCAGGAGGGAGGGCGGCAGCGGGAAATCGTGGTGAAGCTCTGCCCACGTCTCGCCTTCCTTCACGCTCTCGCCGACCACCTGCAAGTTGCGTTAAAGTGTGATGAATTCACGCCATGAATGAAGGACGAGATCTGTTGAGGAGTCTCGGGAATAACGCCATACCTACCTTGACGAGCATGATGCCCACACTGTAGTTGATCGGGTCGCCGACCTTGTTCCTGCCAGCCCCCAGCTCTAAACTGATCTTTGCCATAGTCATCGCATCCATACCAACTAACACTCCTGAAAAGGTATAAAACTCGTTAGAAATACCCTCAATGACATTCTTAAGTAACGAGTATAAAATTAATGAACGAGGTAACATACTTATCATGAGTTCAGATGGTCATAGAAATAACAGTTCAGACCTGAGGAAGCAGCTTTGACGGCAGTGACATGAGCCGAGGAAGGTAGATGGGAGTAGTCGGGAGCATCACCACACAGTGCCTCTGCTACGCTCTTGGTGACGCCCTTTGGGAGGAAAGTCGGCTCTCAGTCGCCTTGAAACGGTGCAGTGGTACATACTTGTTTACTTTGGTCTGACTTGGACGATGATACATAAATTCGCGAATCAGTATGACAGAGCT